GACTTGAAAGGATCCAGTCCAGGTAGACCGGGTCCCTGGAAGACGCAGCCTATTAATTCGAACAGAGCCGAAAACTCAGAGCCGAAGACTCACCCTTTAAGCCCCGAAGAAGAGAGGAAGTCCTCCATTTCTCACTGCAGACCACGTGACCGTATGGAGGAGCGGCATTCACCAAGGCAGTTGGTTTAGGAAAAACTACGACATCATCGACTTCATAAACACTGCGCGCCTCTACAAAAACAAAATCTTCCTCTTCTAATGATTTCCGGAAGGCTGAAGGCTGCTGGTGGGAAATGCTGCCCCCTGCAGGCCTGTGAGGAAAAGTCAGAGGACAAGGAACTTCTGTCCTTCATGAAAAACCAGCCATCCTGTTTCATTAATCTCCAAGAATATATCTTTTCAACTTTAGGGGGCTCACTTTCCTTCTCTTCTTTGATTAAAGCACTTCTTCCAAGGGCACTGATTCACAAACATCATTGTTCTCCGCCTTAATCTGAAATGACCAGTGGCCCTCACACTTTAAACAAATAGGTAATTATTTTATCCTGAATGGTTCAAAATATAAAGTTAAAAAAGTTTGGGTATTTAAAAATATTATGTTTAATAATGAGCTCAACCAATGGTATTATTTAACTGACGATTTAACTGTAGCTTGTTTTTACCTCAACCTATAAGAACAGACTGATTTCTGCACTCCCTTCAACAAGATTTCTGTTTCGTTAGCTGGTTTCTACAGGAAAATAACTTCCCCAATTCACTGGAGAAATGCGTGGACATTTAATCAGAATCTCCAAATAAACAACCAAATGAGAGATGTTTCCTTAAACTGTTGACAGAGTTGATGCCTTTAATCAGTGAAAGATGGTAATTATTAAATCAACAGACCCCATCTGTACATTTAGTGAAGATAATCAAGAAATAATCAGTCATCTATGTTGGAACTTTAACAAATGTGTGATTTATATAATTGATGGTCATATTATTTTGGTTTTAATGGAAAGAATATTAATTAAAACAGAGGACTAGTAATTAATCTAATTTTTATATGGGGCAAACTTAGTTTTCTATTAAGTACATATTCATCATCGTTGTTTTTTTTTTTTTTAGTTCTTTTTAGAGAAATTCTACTATATTTATCTACTATATCTTAAAACACAAACAGTAAACACATATGATTGCTGCAATGATGATTTTAATTGATAATATTCTGTTGTTTTCTAACACATTGTTCTGATGGGGTCATCAGGAAGTCCTGGGGAAGTCCGGTCTGAAATTCGGTGTCCATCAAGCTTTAGACCTATTAAAAAATAAAAAAAATCTTAAATAAAAAGTTATGATTTCCAACCAATTAAAGATATTTTGTTGTAAAAAAAAATAAATAAATGCAACATTTTTACGTGAAAGTGTGTTTTTATAAAGATAATTTTACATATGATAAAAGAAAAAAAAAACTATGTATTTCTCCTTTGTTATTCCATTATCTACACCTTTGTTATAAACACAAATAACAACTGGAGAAAAATACAAATAATACGTCACAGAATTATTCAGATTACTTACAGACTTTAAAATGACTTCAATGATAAACATTTAAAATATATGGAAAGTAAAAAGAATTTATATCTAGACAAAAAAGCATCTAGACTAGATCAATTATATTGGTAATGATATAGATGGGAATTCCCAGAACAAAACTGATGTTTCTTTATTCAGTTGAATTCTGTTTCTTTATATAGCCACAATTCAAAACACACATTGAATCAAGACACAGAGAATATTAAATAGGGACAGATTTTATATTGCCAGAAAAGAAGAGCGGGTTATTCAATCATTAAACGCAAACGACTGGTTTCCCAACATTTAAGGATGCAGACATACAATATCATATAGATACAAAAAAAGAGTTACCTTGTGAAAGAGACCAAAACCTTGTCAAAGCTGCACCAAACCTCCACATCTCACAACACTCACTGCATCATGGATGAGGAGACATTAATTTTGGAAGTATAGCATCAATCAATCCTGTATGATCCTAGGCATCCTCATTACAAGGATATACAAAGAAAAGAAAAGGTGTGGGCACATATTGCCCGTATGCTGCAGGCTGATGGTGACTTTTAATTGTGTTAAATATTTGGCTCCAATGTAGTAAAAAATAGGCTAAGCAAGCTGTGCTGCTTGGTACTGCATGCCAATCGTACACAATTACATCTAGCTACTGCAAAATATATATATATAAATTTAAGTCAATCTTAAAATAATTGCAAACTGCATAAAATTCACATCTAAATAAGTCTTTTTTTTTCTTAAAATAAGTGCATTTTTTTCTTGAATTGTGGAGGTGAGTGAGACACTTCGCCAATGGAACAAGACAATTTACATTAAAATGAGGAAAAAAAAACAATGAATTTTCATTATCTTATTTCAAGAGTGTATTGTTGAATAATTTTACTCTAAGAGTAATTTATTCCGTTGGCAAATTATCTTATTTACGTTCTTAAATTAAAGGTAAAGACACTTAATTCAAGACATTTTTACTTATTTCTAGTTGGGTTTTTTTTTTACAGCGCATAGTCGGAAATTGAGCCGGTAAGTGAGACTTTCTGCAAATAAGATTATTGACATATAAAATAAGAAGAAAATAAAAAAAACTGCTGTCTCTCATCCAAACTGCAAAATATCTAATTAATTTACTCTTAAGGATTAAAATACTAGATTATTATTGTAGATTGTTTTTATGTTATAAGTGGTATCATACTGTGATCTGCTCTTGTGGATTGTGGGAGTTACAAAATTGGAAGAAACCTGAAAACATGCCTGGAGGTCTGTTGCAAATGTGACTGATTATGGCAGGGCTGCTACTCGGTTCTGATCTCCCCCATCATGGAGGCTTAATCAACCATCCTAGTGTAATCCTGAAATACATATAAATTAACTAAACCACTGAGCATTACAAGGCCCCTTATTTGTTAACACAGACCATATTTAAAAAAAAATATGAATTCTTTGTCATCATGTTTTCATTGTAGAATTATGTTGGAGGCAGACTAGCTTTGAGTACAGAAATAGAGGTAACTATAGTTGCAAGGAGCAAAAATACAGCAGACCTAATGTTTACAGGTGAATATTTCATACTGGAATTCACAGCAGAATGCAGGTTCCAAACATTCTGTCATGCTGTTGCACCAGGGTGCAACCATTAGGCAATACAAGGCAGTTCCCTATAGGGCCCCAAGTTCCTGGGGGCCCCATTAAACTCTGTTTAACTGTATTGTTAATACAACTATTCCTTATTTGTGCACATTAACTATGTTTTTCATAAAAATACTTCGCTAAAATGCAGTCGGAACACTTATAATATTAAGTGTGTCTCAACCCTCCCCAATATCCTGATCCATGTAACACATTGGATGAGTCCATTTGCTGCACATTTTTAGAAAGGTCAGAATAGAGAGCAGCACCTTCTACTCAGGAGGAAGTTGTGGAGGATGCAAGCTGCCATCACTGCGGAGTCCACATTGAGGGAGCAGGTTTATCTTGCAATTAAGTATTCTCCACCTTGACGCTAGAATACCAAAAGCGTATAAAAAAATATATAAATAAAATAAAATCTCCAGCTGGAAAGCTCACTACCAGTTTGTTTAATACATGTCTTCTAATGCATTTCATCTTATTTCTCCTTTATTTTTAGAAATTACTATTTTAAAAGGGATACACAGGTAAAAAATTTATTCCGCAGCACATTTGAAAGTGTTATTGTGAGATGGTTTGGTTTTGTTAAGTGGAGCTCTAAAACCAAACCACCACCAGGGGGCGCAAAGGACAGCGTGCATTGATATCTCAGTATGTGAACCAATTAGAGTGGCGGATTGCCTGATGGCGCGTCAAATCAGAGAGCTCCTCTTACATCGATCCCGAAATCAGTCTTTTAGCACCAATCAGATGGCTTCGCTCATCTCGACCCAAGAAGGCCCTTTCGGCTGTGCTCGGCTTTTACTGTCAGTTCCTTTGTCCTTTCATTGGAGCAATAGCGGCAGCCATTGTTAGCAGCAGTGAAAATTACTTTTAACTTCGGTAAGTCCGAAAAAAAACCAGCATAATTGTTTATCAGACTCATTAATGTTTCAATAGCTTTGATATATTACTTTTGATTTGGCCCTCATCTGTATTTTACAGTAAGTTTGTTCACTAGCTTGTTAGCTCAAGTTGTCTCTCTTCCTCCCAGCATATATTTAAGGTCAAATCGGTCACATGACCTGTTCATAGCGCATGTATGAAAGAAATGACGGGGTTGTAGTTCGCAAAACATTGTAAGTAATATTTTAAGAAGGCAATTTTGCTGCATAAACCCGCCAGCGGCCAAAATTATTTTTATTTCTTATTATCTGCCTGCCAGTGGTCTAGCCTCGATCAATGTCCCAGGCCCTAGAACTGGCGGGCTAATCTTCTTATGAGGTTTTATGGCGGTTGGCAAACTTGTGAAATTTGTGCATTACCGCCACCAACTGATATGGAGTAAAGCAAGGAAACAGGAAACGATTCACCCCAGGAAAAAAAATAAAAAAAAAAAATAAATAAATAAATTTCTAAATTTAGGTAGAGTAATAATTTTAGATTGTATTCAAATATCTGGAGATGATTCCCCCAACAATAGAACAATT